GAACAGATATAAAGTTTATTTCTGCTTTTAAAAACAGATGACGTTGGAAATATGAGAATAAATATATGAAAGGTTATCTATCAGTATGAGACACATGTGCTAAAATATGAATGAAAGTTACAACCACTGGGGAAAATAGTCTACGTTATTGAATTTTAGTCCTTGGAAACAGCACACTCTTACAGAAAAAAAAAATTATCAGTTCTAGTTCTGGGGAATAAACATACAGTCTGAGCAGATATAACAGAGAGCCCCAGGCAGGCTGGAAAATGCTTAGAGTGCAGCTTCTTGGAACCTCTGTTGTTTTAGGAAGATTGTGGTGATGCCATTCTCTTTAGGAAAAGATCATGACAGGTCCCTGAAGCCCCAGGAAGATGCTAATGATCCTTTTATTCTTATAACTACATCACACTTGTGGTTTGAATATGAAATGTTTCCCATAGGTTCATGGGTTTGAGCACTTGATCCCTAGCTGGTGGCACCTAACAGTGGAATATTTAGGAGGTGGGGCCTTGAAGGAGAAAGTACATCACTGGGGGTGGGTCTTGGGGTTTCACAGCCTAGCCCTACTTCCTGTTCTCTCTGCTTCCTGACTACAGATGCAATGTGACCTACAGGCCTCATGTTCCTGATGTTAAGCCTTCCTCGCCAAAAGAGGGTGTCAGAACCCCTAGAAAGAGTTCCAGTCACTGTGAGCTGCCATGTGGAGGCTGAGAACCACATTCAGGTCCTCTGCAAGAGCAGTAAGGGCTCTTAACCACTGAGGCACCTCTGCAGCCCCTCAGTCACATTTCAAACTGATGAAATAATGTCTCACAAAACAGGAAGAAAAGAATACTACATAAAAGCAGCAGCAGAGAAGCTGGTTTTCTGCTGCTTTCTTTGGCATCCAGACCGGTTCTACTATGTGCAGCAAACTAATACATATTTCATGCACTTTTAGTTTCTGGTAATAGATATAATTTCTGCTAACATCCTTATTTTTTCTTCAGTTTTATCTACTATGGAAAGGACAGATACAATGATTTCACAATGAAGGAGTTTATAGATGTTACACGTTGGAGGCCTTTTCCCCAGGTTACAACATTCTAGGTACTAGAAGGATAAAAGCATATACTTGCCTAAAACAAGGATATAGATTACTGATCAACAGTGTTTACTCTGTGAACCTGAAATGAAGTTTGCTTTTATTCTTCTTCCAACAATACAGCTGTGGTTTAATGTCACCAACACTTAGCTCGGAATCTCATATTCTGTGAGGCGTATCAGGCCCCCACTACCCTGCTCCACAGCTGTGGCTTAATGTCAACAATGCTTAATTTGGAGGAGTACTTTGTGAGGAGTACCACACCCTCATTATCATCTCCACCCTCCACACTCAGTCACATAGGAAAGCAGCCAGCATTCAATATATTTAACTTTTATTTGAAAATCCACATTTCTTATCTTAGCGACACCTATATTCTGTAAAAGAAACTCTAGTTTCTTTAGACTGACCAGCAACATCCCTCAAACATCTCTGCTCTTTAGCCATGGTAAAACTTTACTTAGTGTTTGTGAAAGGATTCACCCCTGCCCCCACATTCCTGTTATAAGTTTGCATATGAAGTGTAATCAGTACAATTGTTTTAAAGTTCAAATGTCAATTCCTCCGGTAGATAAGCATGCACCAACAGCACAGGGTTGAACAGTTATTGTAGCTAGTAACAGAAAAAAGTTACTAGGACAAAACTTCTCTGAAAGGGGGGTCATTTGCTCAATGTCATCACATCTCCTGGAGCACACCCTGTCCCTCACAGCTCTGACCTCTACATGAATGCAACTCTACTTGACTATGAGTACCTGCCTTCTTCTCACAATGACCCTGTCCACTTCTCAGGTTGGTGAAAACATTTTAAAATTCTGCTGGTTCTTTTCTCATCCCCAAATGAACTGACAACCTATGACATTTTCTCTGGAATTTACTTGTGTCATTCATCTGGCCCAAGACATGGAAGTCAAAATCAGGATTAAGGAAGGATTTTATTTTGCATCTAAAAGCAAAGAATAGCCTTCACCAGAAAAACGATAACGACTTCTCCATACATAGGCTCCTGCTGTATCTATTCATTCTACAGTAATTCAACTAACTATAGATCAAAACAAGAGTATTTGGTAAAAAACTGTATCCATACTAAACATGCAGAGACTTTCTTGCTATTATTCTTGAAATGATAATTTCACAGCTCTTTATGTAGCATTTACATTGCATATGAGTAATTTAAAGATGATTTAAAGTATATGGGAAGATGTGTTTAAGATATGCAAATACTACATAATTTTATAGAAAATATTTGAACATCAAAAACTTTTGATACCAAAGCATTCATAGCTGGGGTGTGGAAGGGCTTGGATATGCTTTAAACTAATGAAATAATAAAAGGAGAGGTCTCTTTCACAAAAAGGAAACACTAAAAAAAAGTACTATATAAAAACAACAGAAAAAAAGCTAAGTAGGAGTAGACGGATTTTTTCCTTTGAGGAAATCAGCATAGTGAAGGCCAGTCTGAGATCATCTTTAAGAGCAGATAATAGCAAAGCAAGGAAAACAAAGTTTTTACACTGTAAGTTGATAACAGCGACTCTTAGAAAATATCAGAAATAATGGTAAATGAGAAAATATCAAAGTGTGTTTATTCAAGGAATATTTGAATGTCTCCTTTTACATTGCTCACCTGGAAGCTTCAGTTCACTTTCAAGATCTAATCCCAAAGGCTGGGCGCCACTGCTAGTACAACCAAGAAGTGCCCAGCATCTCTTGTGTGCTCCCTGGCACCGGCTCATTGTTCCACTAACAGTCCCCGCTCCTTAGAGATCACTCGCACCTGCCTCCTCTTCCTCAAGACTGTTCCTCTTTGCAACTTTGATGTCTAGCACAGGGAATAGGCACCTATTCATTTAATTAAGCTCTGCTAGGACGCCTTGGCCTGAGTGGATCACGTATCCATGTGTCTTAAAGAATGTATAAAAATCAGTGAGACACTTCTACAAAGGTGAAGCACATATTCTTCCTCCAACCGCAGACAAAACCTGAATATATATATATATATATGGCACAGGAGGAATGGGAAGAAGAAGGCAGACCTGGGACCTTAGGACCCAAGAATAATATGTTCCATGCTGAAAACACCAATGAGTGCACACACACACACACATACACACACACACACACACACACACACACACAAAAAAACAAGAATAATATGTTCCATGCTGAAAACACCAATGAGTGCACACACACACACACACACACACACACACACACATTGGCACCAAGCCACATGGCCAGAATACAAGAAGCAAAGAAAGGAAATCTGTTGTGCTCCAATGAAGTACATCAGAAAGAACTGGAACCCACACCAGCAAAACCTTAATAATCCCAAACTTCCATCTTTGTCACGTTGTAAAGCAATGTCCAACTCCCTCCCAGGGGTCACATCAGAAAAGGCTGAATAGGTACTGAGAACTTCATCCCTATGGTCATGAAGCCTTCTCCATGACACCAGCATTAGCAGAGGCCACGGTGCCTCCAATGAACAGTGTCCTGTGTATCCCAGAAAGGAAGACAGCAGAGACCTAACTACACTGCTCGCCTCCTCTTATCCCAGCGTCAATGGAGGACGGGTGGGACACTTGAGCCCTGACCACAGCTGGTAATGAGAAGGCAGTGCTCCCAATATCCATGCTAGGATGATATCAGAGAAGATATAAATAAGATGCAGAATCCTAAGGTAGAATACTTAAAACATGCAGGTTTCCACAAAAAATTCAATCAAGAAGCAGGAAAATCTTTGTTGAGAAACCCTCCACAATCTATAGATGTGAACACCACAAGGACAGGCATGTTTGAATTATCTGGTGAGGAGTTTACAGCAGCTGTAGTAAAAATAATTCAGCAAGCAACTGCAAACAGATGTGAAACAAATGAAAAAGAGATTAAAAACTCTGAGTATATAGAAATATAGAGAAAAACCACATGGAAATTTCAGAAATAAAACAATAACTGATGTGTTAAAAAACAACGGGTGAGCTCAACAGCAGAATGGATTAGACAGAGGCAAAAAAATTAGTGAATTTAAAATAAAACAAGCCAGGTGTGGTGGCTCACACCTTTAATTCTAACACTCAGCAGAGCAGGGAGAGCTCTGTGAGGTCAGTTTGGTCTACATAGTGAGTTCCAGGCCAGCTGGAGCTACAAAGAGAACTGGTCTCAACAAACAAACAAACAAACAACACCAACAAATAGAAGAGAAATTACTAAATCTAAACAGAAAATAGACTGAATAAAAGCTTTAGGAAACTACTCTAAAACAAAAACAATGAAACTCCAGAATTATCAAGTACATGTCAGTGGCAAATTTTATTATCTAGAGCCACAAAGGATGATTATTCTACGAAAGACTTATAGAAATATTTGGTATAGTAATATTATACATAAAATGGACTCAGAAGACCTAAAAGTTAACATTGCCTCTGAAGATTCACAGGTTGAAATGAGTACTGTCATTGCAGAGGGGAAATCAAGTCGACTGTGCCATTTGTCAAACCACAGCAAAGATGCTAAGTGATGTGGGACATGTTCTCTTCAGAGTTACAGAACTTCAAAATGAACAGCTGGGCAGAGAACATCCCTTCTTCTGTTGGTGAGGTCACTTGTACACAGAGGAAAACACTCCTCTCATATGAAAAATGCCACTTTGCAAGTTCTCTGAAGTTTCACCCAAATAATGTCAAATTGTAAAGATCTAAGAGAACCACTTTTAGAACTACCTCAACCTCTACTCATTCCCAGTGAACAGGATTGTGGAGTCAAACTTTACAACAGATAAATAACTCACAGATTTTTCATCTAAGTTCAACTTGTGAGAGCCATTATATCTTAAGAAATCCTGATCACAGTTTGTTTTAAAAGCACAGGATTAATAATTTGCCTTTTTGAGGAGGAAAACAGAAAATAGAACTAGGATCTCAAAATATTTTTTATTAAAACTGAAAAAAATTGAAACTCCAAGTTTAACGGATTCCAGAACCATTTATAAATTTTGAATGTAACATGGACTATCCAATCTTGTTAGTATTTGCCAATGTCAATAAAACAGTTCCAACATCTGGTGCCCAGACCATGTTCATAGCCACTTCTCCTTAAGAAACTGAAGAGCACTTCTGGGTGTGATCTGTCTTTGATCCCAGTGTGTGCACAACGCATCTAATTCTTACACAGCAAATCTGCATGAGACATGACAGGAACACCCTCCTGCTCCTGTGCGGAATCCTCATGCTTCCCTGAGATGCCAGCATCACACATGATTCCCAGTTTTAACGCGGCTTGACAGCTTCCAAACAATGCAATAGTTTGGATAAAGAATTATATAAAATATAAGATTCTCTCAAAAAGATTTATGGTGCGTTCTTTAATTAAAAAAATCAGTCTTCTTCACTAAAAATTGGCAAATATGTTTTCAGTTTTAAAATGTCTGAAACTGGCTCTTCTCTTTGGTGATAGAAGCTGAGTCCAGTGATGAGTTCAACATCCTTGACCCGGGCTCGGTGCAACTTCAATAGCTCTTCAATCCATGAAGATTCCCGCCTCCCATGCTAGAAAGATAGAGAATGAAAAAGACAAGTCACAGAAAACACTAAGTCTACTTTATCAATAAGGTCTCCCTCTTGCCAGTTTAACAGCTTATGATATTTTTGGCTATGAATTCGCAGATGTCATCAGACTTGTGAGGCATGATCCACAATTTTGAGTAGCATGTTTTCTAATATATATGTGCATACTTGTTTAATTTCATGTATTAAATTTGAGGGAAAAAAGAAAACCAGAAACAGATAGTTACACATTGCATAGGTGCAAGAGACGTCATTCATGGAGGTTTTTTAGAAATACTGGAAAACTGAAACTACATGCATAGTAGAAAAGAACCAGGAAGAAGACTGGACTCAAGTTCGGGTTTTATGACTATCCTATTAGGCAAAGTGCTTAACAACTGAATTCTGATTCCTCTGTCTGCATTCTTCTGGTGTGGTTTTAAAGATCAAGTGCAGTGACATGTGCAACTGAACTAGATGGATGCTAGCATCCATTGGAATGTGTTATCTTCATGGCTGCATGAAAAATGGGGCTGGGAGATGTGGTAAAATGCAGTTTCATCTTTGGTAAAAGTAAAGACCTAGCTAACGTGTGATCTGAAAAGAATCGAAGGCAGATTTTTCTTGGAAACAGAAGTAGAGATGGTGGCTGAATCAGGTGAAGGATGGAAGTCACAAATCCACATCTTAGTCTAAACATTTAGTCATGGATAAAGATCAAAGACATCCATTAAAAAAAAGCCCACGGGGCCAGCGAAATGGCCATGCCTGATGACCTGAGTTCAATCCTTGGGACCCACATGGTAGAAGGAAAGAACCAAGTCCTGCTGTCCTGTCTGACCTACACGTGTGCACTGTGGTATACACGTGTGCAATGGCATGTGTGTTCCCCCCAACACTATAAATAAATAAATAGAATCTAAGAATCTAAAAATTAAGGCCCATGCATTCTTGAGACATTAGTGGCTGAAAATGATGAAACAGACTTTTCACATACAAAACAGACCAACAACCAACCTCTAGTTTCCCATTAACTTTAGTTTCTTACTATCCAGCCCTCAGTTTCCTCTCTGCTATAATCCTTACTCTGGCTCTACGGAGAGCAGCTCAGAACTCCTTGAGCAACAGACAGTTGCCATTTATCTGAACAGTCACAGGAATAGGTTAAAAGTACATGCAAGTTATCTGTTTACTCAGGCTAATCCAACTATGTTTTAGTTACTACTTCAGAGACGAAATAGAAGGAAACAGCATGTATGACATGCCTTAAAATAACCCTCTCTCTGGCTCCCATAAGAAATCACTGCTTTGGTTTTCCCTTTGGTCCCAGTACCTAAAGCAGGGGCCAATGAACACTTTACAAAGGACAAATGACTAGATACAGAGAGTGGTGAAGAAAGGCACAAATGCAACAATCTTTCCTGCTGAGCTGAGTCTGAGTTTCAAGACCCTTCTGCCCACAGATCTCCAAGAATCCACCAATTTACATAGGGATGGGTGTGAAAGCCAAAACATGTTGGCCAACTCAGGTGTAGACTTCCTTTGTGTGACTTCAGTGAAAAAAAAGAAAACCACCCAAGAGTCTGGTATGGGGGTTGGGGGGCACGGTTCAGCACTCGAGTACAAGCTTAGTATATGAAAGGCCCTGAGATCCATCTCCAATCCCCAAACCCCAAACAAAATCAAAACAAAAGAATAAAACAACAACAACGATGATAACCTTAGGAAATGTGGAAAAGTACCCTGAAAGAAAAGTATTTTTGCCTCGCTATAGGGAAACAATTAAACCCTTAAACACTTAAAATTTGCCAAAATATTATTATATTAATTTTAGAATCTGTAATTTAGATTTCTAAAATTCTAATCAAATAAAATTATATAAACAATTGTTCCAAACAAACACAATACAATATAAAAGAATATTTTCACAATAAAGTTTATGTAGAAACTTATTTGAAATGTTGTCTAACTACATACAACTTTAACACTAATTTATAATAATACTGTCAGTCTGGGAATCAGAAGTCCAATTTTGAATTCAGAGAAAATCCATTACTCAAATAAATCTAGAATTTAGCAACTAAGCCATATGAAGTTTGATTCTAATCTGATTTTAATGTCTTTAACATACAAGGTGGTCTTCTACAAAGATGTGTCATCTTAGAAGATCAAATCTAAGGGCCATCAAGATAGCTCAGTGGGTTAGGCACTTGGAACCAAGCTTAACAACTGAATTTAATCCTGGGGTCCTACATTGTGGAAAGAGAGAACCGACTCCCCCAAGTTGTCCTCTGATCTCTCGACATGTGTTGTGGCACATGCATATACACACAAAATAAATAAATAATGTAACAAAAGTGAAAATCAAATTTAACACCATCATGTAATTTCCAAGACCATCTACCTCCAGGAGTTACAGTTTCTTATGCAGTACAGTGTAAGACACACATGCTTGTGTGCATGCATTTGCGTGTAAACTGTGTGAGGGAGAGTGAGGAAGGCTACTTACTGTACAGCTCTCGCTGTTATCAGGCCTGTGTGGCAAGATGAAAGCTACGGAATTTAAGCTTGTACACTGCAAGGGATTCTGAGACGGTTGTTTGCAACTGGTGAGCACAATGAAGAAGTGAGTTGGAATCACAGTTTCTTGATTCCGTATGACTTTGATGTTTCTGTAAAATACAGAAAAATGTACACTTTCAGAAAGAAATATCTTCATTTCAGTAAGCATTTCAGCAGGACCTGCTTTTGAGATAACATCTAAAATTCAAATTTGATTAAATAAATATGTTTTAAGAAGTTAAGTCACCATAATGCCTCAATATTCTGACAGACTCTAGTAATTAAAGATTCAGATAACTCTTATTTTCTATGGAAATTCCATTTTCTTTTTCAGTTCTACCTAAAGACACTAGAATTGAGATAGTAAAGAAAAATATATGTTTTTAAACATCTATAACCAAGATTCTAATTCTAGATCAGTACTGATGGTCCTTTGTATGTTATATAGTCAACAGAGACTGAATTAAGGTTTCTCATCCCAGCTCTTTCAGAGAGGCTATGTCATGAATTCTCTTTTCCTTTGACTGAATTTCCATCTTATCCACCCCCCCAAATTTTTTTTGGTCTTTTTTGACCTTGTAGACTTAGGTGGCCTAGAACTCGTTATGTAGACCAGGCTGGCCTTTAACTCATAGAGACTCACCTGCCTCTGCCTTCCGAGTGCTGGGATTAAAGGTATGCACCACCACACCCAGCTCTAAAATTTAACTTTAATTAAAACAAAACAACAACAATAGCACAACTGCATCCTATTTTCAAAAATCTCTTAAGTAACACCTTTACCTCATCATCATCCTATTTTCTCTAGTTTTAAACCTGTTTTTATTTGTTTGCAATCTTTCAAAATTCAGGGTAGTACATCACTGTTGTTCAAATATGATACTGTGTGGAATCATAATGTAAAATACATTAAAAATTAGGGCTCTGGCTAAAGTTATGAACAGGGAGCATGGGATGATGCCTTCTTTACCATCTTCTTTACCACCATGGTCCATGGGGAAGCTATGAAGAACATGTATGCCTCAATAGACATGGTAAAAAAAATAAAAAGTTATATATTTTACAGGCTGACATACTCCCAAGTATGTTGGCCTAGGAGAGTAGAATATTCTGAGAGAGGCAAAAATATCAGTAGTCTTTAGTCTCTCAGTCTTGTAGTCACAAGAGCAGAAACATTTACAAAATGTAATGTGACTGCTTTAATAAAGCTCAGCCAGGGTTGGAGATGCAGCTCAGTGGTAGAAGTTTGTCTCACATGTGCAAAGCCCTGAGTTTAATCCCTTCCCCCACACCTTCTTCCCATGCAAGAATCAAAAGGATCAACCAGTTTATAAAATATTTTCTCTCCTCATTTTATAAAACCAGCTCCATTGGTGTTTTCCTCCTCCCTCCAGTTAGAGGTGGCTCACTGCTGTGACATTAACTCAAGGTCATCAGACTTGAGACACTACAGTTTCAAGTGCCTGCTCATTCCTTCACCAAGACTTCAGTCACCACACCACATTGCCCTCGCCTAACAGGTAGTCTATCATGGGAACATCCTAACATTTAGCCACCCAAAGATCTTAAACAGAGGTCAGAATTTAAACAGTGCTCATAAATGACTCCATTGATTTGGATGGAAGTGACACACTACTGACTGAAAAAAATTGACAAAAAACTGAATAAAACATCAAAATTCAGCAGATTTCAAAAGTCTTCTGGTGTGATCATGAATGTCTCATACACATGTGAATTGTAACAGAAGAGGTTCTACTAACGAGATGGCAATACATTTCGATAGCTACTTTTAAGAGTAATGAAATGCATTCTTACTTTCTCAGGACCTCTAAGGAATCATAAGATCCATCATAATCAAAGTCAAACACAGGACCACTGACAACATTAATTCCATTCCTCTCTTTGGCATACCTTTGCAGTATGGTATTATGAAAGTACTTCCATACAACTGAAACAAAAGAGAAGATCATGCAGTTTCAGATGAGTACGTGTCATGCTGTCGTATGGAATCATTTAACAATATAAATAAAATTAGGATTTGTAATAATTAAAGACTAAGTCAAATTTAGCTTCAGTCTTAATGTGAGATCCAAAATCCACTGTTCATCTTTGGCTTTTGGGTGGACTAAAAGGCAAATGCTGAATCAGCTGTTTCAGGATTCCTGAATATGGGCATCACACTGTAATCGGTCATGTATCACCAATAAGCATTACAGCATCGCAAACAAATTGATTCAAACTTGCATTGATGCCTAAGTTTCCCTTCTGAAATAATCATGTCATAGACAAAAATTCAAGTTAGAATGTCCTTATAAATGCTATATTTTTATATTCTACATATAAATTCATGTAGAAATGTTTGTTTACTATTAGAAGAGTCAAATACTGCCATGGTTAACAATTCTCTAAAATTTATTAACCTTAAAAATTATTATCCCAAGCTAAAAACCATTTAATAAGGAAACATACTGAAAGTTAATATAAGTAGTCATTCATTATATTTACTAGGTAACTTTTGAAAGAATGTGGTATACTTTTTTGCCAAGAGTGTTTATAACAATTTAAATAGACACTGGAATATATTGTAATTCTATTTATAGAATTTTTGTCTTCAAGTACTCGCAAAGTTAAACAAATCTTGAAGAATGAATTTGATAATTAAGCATTCAATTAAGGCCATAAATCCTACTACATATAAAATATATTTACACATATAAAAATTATAGTAAACCTTTTTTACCTTGAAAACTTTGATACATCGGCACTATATTAGAAGTAAGTAAAGCTTCAGAATATATTTGACTTGAATTTTTACTTAGTGCTAGAAAGGGGGGAAAAATGACAATGTTTTCATACTGCACAAGTAACATTTGAAATTACAAGTTCTGGTAATGAGAAGACTGCTCTTAAAAAGTAGCTGAATGTCATCCTAAACCTGTTAAACTGTCCTAGGAAAAAGGTTCCCTAGGAGGAGGGAAATATGGTACATTTAGCCAAGACCCTTAGAAAAATAAAATTTTAAGCTCTTTCCTTTGTGATGATAAGTTTATCAAAGAAACAAAAATTTTAATAAGGGTTCAAACTAAACATTTTCAAATTTTACCTTATTTGCTTTATTTCAATTGACATGTACTGTGTTTACAATCTTCTTAAACTTTTTCCCAGACAAAGTAAAAAAGTCCACTGGCTTCAGCATAACATCTACTACCCAGAAAAAACAAGCACAGAGTTGGCTTCAGCATGTTGCACAAGGTTTCTTTGTGTGAGCTTGAGGCTTGGACTTGTCTTTTTATAGACCAATGAATGGCCAAGTCCTGTCTGCAGACACTTACGCCAGGACTGGAGGGCAAGGGTTTGGGCACCTGGAACCTTCTTATTTCTGCCTTTTAAAGCCGGTCTTAAAAATTCTCATTAATATACAATTTGCCACTTAAAAAAAATAGACACATTCCTTCAAAATAACCATTCCTTAGAGACTCTGTAGCAGTGAACAAGCAGGCCAACTGCAGGTTCCACCTTAACCCAATTCACTGTAAACAACAAAGCTCCATTCCTTCCCAAGAGCTCTGATGCAGCCTTTTTTTTTAGGTCTTTTTTTGAGATAGGGTCTCCCTGTCTGACCTGGAACTCACTATGTAGACCAGGCTCTGGTCTTGAACTCACAAAGATCCAGCTGCCTCTCCCTCCAGAGTACTGGGATCAAAGGTGTGGGCCACCATGCCGGGCCCAATGTAGCCTTTTACTGTCACCATGTTTTCTCAAATTCCATTCCAAGGAAATGCAGAACGAGTACTGGGATCAAAGGTGTGGGCCACCATGCCTTTTACTGTCACCATGTTTTCTCAAATTCCATTCCAAGGAAATGCAGAAACCAAAGCAAAGAATGTTCTACCTGCTTCCCTCCAACAAATACAAAAAGTTTCATAAAATTCAAGTTTTAGACAGTCGTACTTTTTCCCAATTATGTTTCTAATGTACAATTTTCAAGGCTATGCATGGTGCCTTGTTCATAATGTATGAAATATTTTTCACCGATTTCTTAATATTACTATTTATTATTATTATTATTACTATTGCTATTTACCTTTGGTGCTAGTGATCCAATTTAGGGTCTTATATATGCTAGGCAAAGGTTCTAGCAGTGAGTCACACCCCCAGCCTTGTAATGAGAGATTACAAGTATGAAAAAGGAAAGCAAGCAAAGAGGAAGGAAAGGGAAGGGGGGGGGGATACTTACTTGGTGGGGCGAGGAACCCATAACTCACTTTAGCATTATTCTTATAAAAGGAGCATTTATGGATAGGACTAAAAGAAATCCGAAGGTCCTGGTAGAGACAGTTGGAAAAATCATCTGTAGAGAAATTGTCCTGAAAAACAAAAGGCAAAGAACCATTAGGTATCAGACACAGAACTGCAAAGGAAAAGCACAGCTAAAGCTGAACTGCAGCGCACAGGCATGCAGACACATCCCTCTCCAGTTTTCCATTTCTCTACTGATGCATTCATGTTTCCTAAATGCATGAAGTCTTACTCTTTAGAAAGGTAAGACTATTCATTCACATACGTGCAAGTATCTTTCTATTCTTTTGTGATGATTTTGCCTTATCTTTACAGTTTTAAACATCATGCGTGTTAAAACACTGGTTTTCAGAAATAACAATCACTCTTCCATATTCAAAAACACAGCCAGAAGTTTCTCAGAGAGGAAGGAGATTCACTGGAGAGGTGGTGACGACTGTGAGTTCACACAGCTTTAGTTAGGTCAGTGACCACTGCAAACTTAGGCATTAAACAATAAAAAATGGAAAAAGGTACCCACCAAACATGGAGAACGCAACATAGCACAAAGCCAAGAAAGAGATTGATTGAAGGCAGTCTTCAAAGATTAGAAAAAGATATTCAAGAAATTGTCCATAAATATGTGAACATGTATGTACCATACAGATTTTAACACAGAAGTTACATACATATACACAAACCCCTAGCCTTTGATTTGCAATCTCAGTGAGTATTGACAGTAACTTTATTAAATCCAGCTATGATTTCTGTCCCTGAAGAGTATCTTTATACCTTGCCAGTCACCCGCAAGTCTGGTCTGTGTGGTTTAGAAATCCAGTGCTATGCAAGCCCCTCCTTCCCGTCTCTCTGTCCAAGTCCCTTTCCTTCACCATGCTCTTTCCACCATAGCACCAGGGGCTGGGATGAGGGAGGATGGTGGTATTATTCTGGGTTATTTGTCCTTGCTCTTTGCAAGGCCCCTCTGCTCTGGTGTTGTGGGGGGAGGGCAGAGAGAGGAGGTGACTGCCTCCCCAACTGGGCTGGGGTCCTCAGGCAGTTGGAAGGCAGTGACATGAATGAGCTCTCAGGGTCTGCTTAGATTTGTTCAGTTAAGGAAAAATACTTGTGCTCACAGAGCTGTGCATTTAGAAATGAGTGGGTGACTGCCAATCTGACATCCTAAGATTAAACATCATAATCATACAACATTCAAAATAGGGGGTGTGGGGCTAGAGAAATGGCTCAGTGGTTAAGAGGACTGGTGTTCCATTCCCAACACCCACATGGCAACTAACAACTGTCCATAACTTCAGTTCCAGGAGATCTGACACCCTCTTCTGACCTCCATGGCATTGCATGACATGGGTGCACTTACATACATGCAGGCAATACATTCATACAAATAAAGTAAAAATAATAAATAAAATATAACAAATAATAAATAAATAAAAACAGGGGGTGAAGGAGGTTGAAGAAGAATCACTGAGAAGTTTGCTCTGAGTCTCAAAGTCATATAACTAAATAATCAAAGATCTAAAACTGGGTCCTAATTTTTCTGATTCTGTTCAGTGCTCCCTCATCAAAAGCAGATACTAAACTAGATAAACAGCAGGAAGCTATGCTTTCAGCAAGTGCGAGAGGTGACAGATACTTGCATTTCTGAATACGGTGTAGGATGTCCAGAGGGGCATAAGGAGGTCCTGGCTGTACCCACTCACAAACTGTTGGTGGTAAAGAAGACAGATGCTGTGTTTCTCCTGGAGAATTCTGGGCCTTCCATAGGGCATAGTACTATAGCCAATACTCTTTACTTGGGTCATAAGGGGAAAATGAAAGCATGTTTTAAATATAGTTCATGTGCATTATTTGCTACTACACAACGATATACTCATTTAACACTTTCTTCTACTTAGGCATATGGGAAATTGTTTTTTTTTGCTATAAAACACATACATTATAGAGAGCAGCACTATAAGCAACACAAATGTGAATCACTGAAGCGTTTCCTTTTTCACTGAGATATCGATGTGCTGTTGAGAAATTACAGGAGGATGCTACCTCGAGTTGTGAAAAATTCTAGTTAATTAGGTCTTATACTATGAAAATAATGTTTGAACAGCTAAATGTAGTCCAGGCTAGTTTCAAAACTGCTGTGTAGCCAGGGCTGACCTTGAACTTCTGATCTTCCTGCTTCTACTTCCTGAATGCTGGGATTACAGGTGTGTAGCACTATACCTGGCTTTACTGCAGTGCTGGAGATTGAACTGTGGGCTTCCTACATGCAATCTACAAATTTAGCTACATCCCCAGTTCCCCCAGAGTCCTTAACCTCATTTTAATTATTCTTTAATAGACACTGAAGAAAGCATGTGTGGAAACTTACAAAGCAAAGACTCAGAACTGAAATTATGAAACTAAACTAACTGAAATGCTAACACTACAGGTGTGGTCTATTGGCCTTTTTCCAAATGTAAAGGGCTTTGCAGAACTGTTTTCCATCATCTAGTTCTTGCATGACCCTGTGAATTAAGATTGTGCATATTTTACAGATGAGGTGATGGCAGTTTGCAGAGGTTACTTTCCCCATGACGTAGTTTCTGAGCTCATGAGTTCAGACAGATCCACCCAGTTCTGAAGGTGTTATACTTCACACTTTGCTACACTGGGGATAAAAGAGCCCCCTAATCTCAGCAATTACAGGAGGGATTTTTACATAGTTATATCAGGATTAATGCAGAATTTATTTACCTCTTTATTCCAGCAAGGAAAAATGCCAGTCATGCATGTCATTTAAAGATCAGAAATTGTACCAAAGTGAATCTGATTATCCAGGTCACAATTGAAATATTTCATCAGTTGCCTACATATTCATAACTTTCATTCAAAAGTGACAAGGAACTAGCTTTGGGTAAATAAATCAATTTATAACCTCTTGTAATTAACTCAGAACTTAGAAAACAGAAAATTACCACATATTGTAAATGGAAATCTAAGGTTTTCCTATAAACCTATCAAAATACATTCATCATATTCAGAAAAAAAAGAGACCCAGCTTCCACAAAATAGGCTATCCACCATTTCCACTGCAAAATAACCTTTCTTGCCCTATGACTAACAAGTGAGAGTGTTTGGCAAAGGGACCTCTATGACTCATCTCATGGCCTTCTGCTTCCTTATTGTATTGGTTATTCCTAAATAAGGTCTCCAAAGAACTCTCTGTGGCTCACACCAATGAGGAAAGTCTGCTTTCATAGTGCGGATCTGAGCATAACATGCCTTACCAGTTTTCATGGTCAGATTAAACTGTGTCTCAAAGTCCACGATTGGCACAATCTAAAATAAAAGATTATAAATCTATTTTTAAGGATTGAGAGACATGTTTTAATTGTGTAGTATACAACTTCTATAGCTTAATTAATTTAACATAGAACAAAGATAAAATTTACAACAGTAGTATATAAGGGAAAGGTTTTCCTTCTTTGACAAAGGATAAAAGAAGGAAATAACAGTTGCAATAGACAAAATTATCTATGATAACTGAAAAATAGAAGTGCTGACTCCTATTCCAACCATTCTTCAATAAGCTTAAATCAATAAGCTATAACTGCTAACTTCATGGGGGTTTTCAATTGGTTCATAACTTATTGGGCATTTTTACTATCTTACAGCAACCTGTAAGACACAAGCATCATAGTAATTATTAAGATAACTACAACTCATGGGCTGGAGAGATTGTTCAGCGGTTGAGCAATCACTGCTCTTGCAGAGGACCCAGGTTTGTTCTCAACACCTACATGGAGGCTCACAACTATCTATGACTTGAGTTCCAGAGGATCTGACTCCCTCTTCTGGCCTCCACAGGCAGCAGGTACACACTTTGAGCATACACATGCATACAAGCAAAACACTCATTCATACACACAAGATAATTTTTTAAAAGTTAGTTACAACTCTGATGAAAACAATAATAAAAATGAAACAGTGCCATACATCCATTTGTACCCCCAAAACTGCTATTTTTCCCCACATTTAGAGTACATTGGGCAGCATTTTAGAGAAGGAGCATTCATTATGATATGTTTACTCTGTCCTCAAGACCTCACTGCTGGGACAACAGCATAGACTCCATGATTCAGAATGTTCAAGGGATCCTCTAGAATTCACCCCACATGCCCCTGGGGATCACAGCACCCACTAAAGATGTAAAAGCTAGGTGGGAAATTATGTAATAAATGGCCTGGGGGTGTCCTTAGAATTATAACTTAAATATATGGATGAGTAATAAATAAATATGCTACCTCTCATTCATATATTTTCATTTCATCTTGTTTCTTTTTTGAAATATTTTTATTTTATGTGTATGAGTGTTTGCATGTATGTAAGTGCACCTATGTCATGCAAAGCCCATAGAGGTCAGAAGAGGGTGTCAAACCCACTGGAACTGGAGTTAGGACAGTTGTTAGCCACCATGTGGTGCTAGGAATCAAACCCGGGTCCTCTACAAGGGCAGCCAATGTTCTTAATTGCTGATCCATCTCTCCAGTCCCTTAATTTCATCTTATTTCTGCAGCACATGCCACACATAGACACACACACACACACACACACACACACACACACACACACACACACACGAACTATGCACCGTTTAAGCTTTGTAACAATACTTACCCAGGGGTCACATGTACAATCAAAGTTACTGCTGGATACTGCTTTGATGGCACATGGTGCCAGGGAATGCTCTTCTTTGGGATGATGTGGGATGTGGACAGGCTCCTTTAGAAGGTGATTAAGGCTTCCATGACTCCCGTTATTAGGAGCCGGGGTCAAACCCAATAAATCTGCATAATTACAAGAAAGGTAAAGAGTTACTTAGAAGTAAATCAATTTATACTATGCATTTATTTTTTTTTTTAGTTCTAATATATCTGAGTCTTTTGTTCTTTAGCAAGAACGGAAACAATATTCTCAGCTTTTTGGACTATTTATGAATTTGTTGCTTGTGTATATTTTATTTATTTATTCACTTATCTCTCTGTGTGTGTTTGTGTGCGTATGTACATCTGTATGTGTCTGTGTGGTGTATGTCTGTCACATGTGTGTGGATGCTCTTTTCAATGGCTTCCATCACTGCTCTGAGTCAAATGTTATAAAATTAATCCCAGGGCTCTGAATGTTGAACTTTCACAAAGTGCTACATAAAGGAAAGCTTGGGTAAGTCATATAACATCATGCTCTGCACATTCTTTCAGTGACTCTCGGTCAGGAAAAAGAACATGAAAGCATGGGGCTCTGCCGTACTTCACCATCATCCCCACACAGCTGTCCACCATGTGCCTTACTTCACCTGTCTTCAGAAGAGAGGAAATGGATGGTTCACACTTACCACACATTAAGTTATAGACTTCAATGTTTTCAAAGGAGTCAACCTCAATGCCATGCTTGAATGCAGGTCCATAGCCAATAAAGAGAGCCTGAATTGACCAGAAAAGCAAAGGCTTATCAGTGCAGTTTAGTTATACATGTACTAAGTCAAAAATTCATATTGTCTGTATTATATACATATATGTACATCTATCTATACATATATATTATATATATATAATCAAATATATAAAAGGGATAAATACCATGGCTGGTGGGCTTTCTGAGATATTTTTTAAATTCTCATTACATATACAACCTAAAGACATCTAGGACATTTCTCTTAGTTTTACTATAATCTGGTTTGACAATCAGAACATAATAAATGATGAAATGATTTTTCTTCTATGAAATGGTATATACCTCACCCTGCCAAACTCACACGTGCTGCAAAGAGCGAATTAGATAATCATTGTAACTATACTAAAAATGTAAAAGCATGAAGCAAATGCAAAGTATTATCTCCTTTCAGAACTTAAGTATGATAACTTCTCTTAAAACACTGGCTTTTACCATAGGCCAATATATTTCATATGGCACAGATATGTGCAAATAGACTGTTAGAAACACAGTAAGCAGGTGTTATAAGTTCCATGTCCATTGAAACATGAATAAACAATATTAACAAAGTTCTTTCCAAAGAAAAATAGCTATAATAATTCTCATTCAAGACACTGGCAAGTTTGAGTTTTTAAGTCTCCAATGTTATTTATCAGGCTTTCTTCAGATTAGTTCTATTTTGTTGAATACAGAAGTTTTACTCACTTGCATATTTGAAAACAGATTGTCAGAGCCATGAAATCCACTTCCACAATATTTCCTTTCTGATGGACTCCTAATTTTGATATATATGAATTAGTAACATAAAGGCTACTCACTGAACATAACTGACAACCATGCCACCATTTTCATTAATAAAATAAATAATTTGTTAAAGTAACATAAACTAAATAAAACCACCTGGCTTTGAAAGACCTGGGTTTTGTCCTTTATAATGTATTGCATAGAGTTGGTTTGTCCATGAGATAAAAGACAGGGGTGGATAAGCTTTAGCATCAAGGGAAAAAGAGGTCTAAAATCCTGGCTGTGCTGTAACTTATAGCTATGACTTGAGAGAACTTCATTATCTCTACTCTTCTTTTGGGTTCAACTTTTCTTGCAGGTCATTTACAAAAACTTAATAATGCTGTGGCCTAAAGAAATGTTCATGGTTTTATTATTATTATTTTTATGTGTATGAGTGTACTGCCTGCATGTGTGTAAGTGCACTCATGTTGTGCAATGCTGGCAGAGGTTAGAAGAGGGCATCAGATCCCCTGGAACTGGAGTTACAGATGGTTGTTAGATGCCATGTGGGTGCTGGGAACCAAACTTCAATCCTCTGCGAGAGCAGCCAGTGCTCTTAACTGCTGAGCCATCTCCCCAGCCCAAGAAATGCTCATAGTTTTTAACCCAGAGCCTCAAACACGCTAGGTAAACACTTAAGCACTGGGTTATACCCCGGTGCTTGGATATCCTATGTAGTAGTCATTATCGACCCAGTCTCCTGTGAAGGTAAGGATTGGTCATTTTGCATTCTCTTCTATTCCAAGCACACAGCTTTCTCACAGTGGAGAAGGTGTGACTTAGTTGTGGTTCACTGCTTAGGTTTTGCTAGACAGAGGCATTTATCATTGCTCATGGTTTGGTGGGTGACTACCAAAAGATTTAACGATCAAGTTTTGAAATACGTACACTTTTAAGCATTCAAATATTTTGATGAATACCCCAACAAGCTGAGGTTTGCTGACAGATTTGTATAAATAAAATGAAAAGTTAGAAACCATATGAATAAAGTCAGTTGCTTGTTATAAAGTGCTTTCAACAACAGTTAGACTTCGAAGGGTTATTAGACATAACTGTACTGTGTAGAAAAGATGCAATGGGAAGTGGTAATACAGTAGTATAGATCATTAGAAATAATCAATATGGGGCTGGAGAGATGGCTCAGTGGTTAAGAGCACTGACTGTTCTTGCAGAAGACCCAGGTTCAAATCCCAGCACCCACATGGTGGCTAACAGCCATCCATAACTCCAGTTCCAGAGGATCTGATGCCCTCTTCT